AAATAATGCAATTAATACACTGTGTTAATAAATATTCCATCACATACATAAATGTCCCCATGAAAAGAAAAACAAAATTAACATATTATACATTTTTGGCATGTCTTTATATTATTTATTTATTTATTACATATTGTAATTTTATTTTGTGATACTTTTATTTTGTAAAGCTACTTTACACATTTCAGTGACTTTTATTTTGAACTCCCCTTTTATTTCATGCTGTTTTTACTATTTCAGGCTGTTTTAACATTTCATGTCGTTTTAATTTATGGTCCATTATGCAAATGAGGGGGCGGAGTTTTCTCTGTGGGTTCATACGTCAACCTCTTTGGACGTTTACCTGTACAAAGAGCCTCAAAAATCCGTAAATTTTGCAAAAAATCCATACAACTCGCAACCGCTGTGGACATGAAAGCGCCTGCTGTGAAGCAGGAGGAAAGGAGAGCGGAAAAAGTTATGTATTTGTAGCGACAGAACAGGTTGGAAGATGGCTGTTTGTTATTTATTGTTTTTTAAATCATCCTATAGGCTCTGACATGTTAGATAAATTTGAAAATGAGATTTTGAAAACATCCGTAAGACTTGAAAAAATCCGTGAGATTGCCCTATACGTCCGTATACCTGCAAATTGATGTAAAATCCTTATAACKTATATACAAGTTGACATATATGTTGGTTGGTATTCAGGAAATGATTTCACCTCGAGGGGGATACTCACCTGCCTGGCCTTTCTTCTTAATAAAATTTTCGTTTTTATAGATAAAACACTGACATATGTCCATAAATGAGTTGAATGACTGTCAGTCTGATCATAAAGGCTTTGCAGAGATACGCCACTGTGTTTCTGATATCCTGTCGCAGTTCTTACACTGCGCTATTTAAGGTGWTTGTTGACACAGGATCTGTCTCTTTGATCCCAAGGTCCGCCTGAGCCGAAACATGTGTCTTATGCTGACGGCCATCCTGCACTTTATTCACGGCATGACCGACCCTGTCCTGATGTCTCTCAGCGCTTCCCACGTCTCGTCCTTTCGACGCCATTTCCCCGTCCTGCTGGTGTCCGTGGCGCTCTTTGTGCTCCCCGTGGTGCTCGGCAATGCCCTGTGGCACCACTACGCCCTCAACACCTGGCTCTTTGCCGTCATCGCTTTCTGTGTGGAGCTGTGCCTCAAGGTGAGTCGGGGTTCCTGCAGATCCTTAAAAAGTCTTTTAAAAGTCATTGAATTCATCAATCCAAAAATAAGGCCTTAATTAGTCTTAAAAGGTCTTAAATCAATCTTTCAGAAGTCTTAAAAATGTTAACACATTGTAAATAGGATGATTGTAATTCATCTCAAATATTAAAATAATTGGTAACATTTATTTTTTAAATATTCACATGCAGACGTTACCCTTTGACATCACTTCCTGTTAATTCACATGCAAATATCTCAACAACTGTTCAACTGAGCAATGAGAAATTATTTTTGTAATATGTTAATAATGTTGTCTTTTCAAAAATGCGTTCACTTTTCTTACAAATTTAGAAATCACAGGCACTTTAAGGTTTCATCTACAGCAAATTGGGGGTTAAGACCCCACTGTGGGTCCTAAAACTCCAAATTTTGGGTCGTTAAACTGACTGCTAAGAATGTTTTTGCTATATTTAACAAAAAAGCAGTTAGATATGGATAAAAACAATTGGTTTATTATCAATATTTGACTACTTCAACCAAAAATACTTTGATTCATGAACTGCAGTTTTTTTTGTCATTTGTGTTTGTTATGAAATTGGTCTTAAATTATTATTTTTTTAAACGTATTTATTCATTTCACTTAAAAAACAAAGAAAACAAACTACATACAACAAAACAATGCAAATAAAAAAATGAAAGGCAGCAGAAGAAAAAAAATCTTATATCTGCTCCTATTTACAACAAAAAATAAACTATATTAATTTCAAACAATAACAAACCAAATAAAACAAAAATAAAAATTCAACTCCACAAACAGTAACGCATGCAAATAAAAATTAAACAGTTTCATATTTTAACAATTTCTTTGATCATTTTTAAAAGGACTTAATTGATCCAATGCTTTTATAATCATTTTCCAGATTATTCCGTAGTCGTWTACCTTTTACTGAAGTGCATCTGTCCTTCAAATTTGTTCGAATTTTTAGTTTAATAAACATTTGTAGTCCCTTCAAATTATAGCAACTTTCCCTCTTAACATAATTAGATTGGAATTTAATTTCACTTGGCATTAAAACGTCTTTAAAAGTCTTAAATTTAACTTGCTTTAAACTGTAGGAACACTGAGTGCCGGGAGTTGAGTTGTTTTTTTGTGTCTGGTGCTTTCTCCTCAGGTGGTGGTGTCCCTGACGGTCTACGGCCTCTTCATGGCCGATGGCTTCTCCAGCGTCCTGTGGGAGAAGCTGGACGACTACGTTTACTACGTGCGCTCSACGGGCAACATCATCGAGTTCCTGTTCGGCGTCATCTTGTTCGGCAACGGCACCTACACGATGATGTTCGAGTCGGGCAGCAAGATCCGGGCCTGCATGATGTGCCTGCACGCGTACTTCAACATCTACCTGCAGGCCAAGAACGGCTGGAAGACCTTCATCAACCGCCGCACRGCCGTCAAGAAGATCAACTCCTTGCCGGAGATCCACGGGGACCGGCTGCGGAACATCGAGGACGTGTGCGCCATCTGCTACCAGGACTTCGCCACGTCGGCCCGCCTCACGCCGTGCCACCATTACTTCCACGCGCTGTGCTTGAGGAAGTGGCTCTACATCCAGGACACGTGCCCCATGTGCCACCAGAGGGTCTACGTGGAGGACGAGGGCCAGGACAGGGCCGCCTTCTCCAACAACAACGGGGGCTACGCGGTGCCGCAGGCCGCCGCCGATGAGCCCGTGCCTGGCGAGGACCAACCGCCGGTCGCAGAGTTGCTGGCCAACGGAGCGGCGGCCGCGGTAGGCCTGGTGGGTCTGGACGAGCTGCCGGGGGACAACGACAGCATAGAGTACGACGAAGACGAGTGGGGGACTCAGAACGGCAGCACGCCAGTGGAAGAAGACTACATTAATGACGACACAGACTCCACGGAGGACTGACCAGAAAAGATCTATAGAAAAGAATATACAAATACCTTTATAATATTTAAGTTCAAAACAAACTTTAACACAACGTTAGCATCTTAATTTGTTCTTGGACAAAATGTCAGGGATGTTGTTTCTCTTTTTTTGTTTGTTTTCTTTTGAGTTTCACTCTAAAGGGCTTGTGGAAAGCGWAAAAGCTGCTCATTCTGTGTGTGTGTGTCGAGTGGACACGTGTGTGAACAGGCTGCGTGATGTAGACCAAARACTCATCTTTAAATTTCCTTCTGAATAGCAATTGAGCAGTTGCTATCGGCTACTGATGCACAGTTCATCTGATTGATTTTTCCAAGTTTAAAACAGGAAACGTTCAGACATCCTCCAGGTTTCGTCACTTTCTGTGTATAAAGAACACATACTGTGGATGTTTATTGTGTTTAAAATAGTCCTTAATCATAAAGGTCCTGTCAYTATAATGTTTTWGACGACTTWTGCTGACTTRTGAAATAATTTTTATATCTAAATTRCTAATAAAATTATATATTTGATCAGTTTGTTAGCRGTACGTGCCTAAAAGAAACTTMCAGTTGATGTTATTCAGTCTTCAACSTCTTTAAAAWTTTCACAAATTGTCTAAAACGTTAGTGTGACAGGGCCTTAAGGGASAATATTGYTAATTTCAATCCAGCTTTTTAGAATTCGTACAGGTTTTGAGTGCCCACCTCTTTCTTAAATCCGTAATCCCTTTTATAAACAAACCTTTTGCCATATTTGCCAAAAAAACGATTGGTCTACAAGGTTAGTTTAAGACTTAATAGTGAAGTTTACTGTGATTCTTCTAGCTTTATTTTAGGTTTTGTGCTCTCAAAACGTCTCAGATCAGGCCTCAGGCTCCAAATTGTAGCTCAATTATGTCTTGAGGTGAACTCAGTATTTTTTTATGGTAAAATAGTTGAGAGTGATTCCAGACTGAATGAATGCAGGAGAGGGAGAGACTGAAGTGTGTGATAAGAGTGTCTTTCTACTGTAATTTCTGATATACCTCTCATTACTCACTACTGGTCTGCTACAGGACCTCACTTAGGCTGTTGTACGTTTTCACACACAACAAGCACACCTTCTCCTTCAGAAACAATTTATGTCCACAGTGCTGTTTAACGAGACTATTTAATTAGGTTAAATGTTTGTTTCAGACCCAGAAAAGATTATTTATATAAGACTACTATAACAGAAGTGCAACACAAGTCACTTTAGAGCATTTCTATTTCAAATAAAATGTTAAAATGATTTCTCAGTGCAGTTAATGGGCTTTAAAATGTGCCAGCTGTTCTGTTTGAACAAAAATCACAAAGATGTCTGATTTTTTTTTTTTTTTTTTTTTGCAGAAAACTCTATTCTAATCACTGTTGCTGACAGATTTCTCATAGTGTCCAGCATGGTTTTAAGATCTTTCTGCAGGAGTTCAATTCTTTCAATCTTTTAAATAACAAAATATATCTATATTGTTTTTGGCCCTGAAAAGTACAATCAACAAGCAASCGTTTTTCTAAAGCTGCAGATTTATCAGCATATAATCTGTGATACTTGTTGCAATTTTGAGCTACGTACAGGATGTTGAACACTTCTGTTTTTCAAACATAAATGTCCTACTGATCTGAAGTTTGAAACTGCTGGTACAAAATTGTTCTCTGAAATGTATTTAGTTTTTTTTATTTTTCCTGTTTTTGACTAGAGCTCAGCCAGCTTTCAGTAGCTACGGATTCTCATTTTGAACTTCTAGCTATTAAAAAAAAAACAAAAATAAAGTTTTCCAGCATCATTCTGAATGTTGTGTTAGGACTTCCACAACCTGAATGTTTTCATTGTTTGACTACATGCTTTTTATTTTAATTTTGCTGGTTGCTGAAAACAAACYGCAGGGAATCTGAAAAAGTATTAGAGGATTCGGTTGAAAAGCTGTGCTTTTTGATACGCTTGAGCTATGAAGGATTCTGATTATTTTGTTCTGAAAAGTTTTTTAAAAAGGGTAAAAGTGTTTTTTGCCTTTTTGTTTTAAAAATAAGATTTATGTAAATAAAATCGACTTTGATATTGTATTTTGGTCTTTAATTGTAACATCACAAACACTTGACTTAAACACATTCTTAACGCTTTTTTTTTTTTAAAATATAATGAACTGATACGTTTCCATAGTGGTGTGGGCATAAATTTGACTTAGCTGACCGGTATATGGTGCTGTTTTACCAATTTACACAAACTTTTCACCCACCTTCCTTAGACTATTTTTATTTCAAATCATTACATATATTAAGTTAAATAGGGAGCATAGTTATTTGCCATTCCAGAGATTGGCAGAAGCCACGATTGTAATACATCCAAGTTTATTTA